TGAAAGGTTCATTTTAAAGTAAAAAAAGAAAAGAAAATAGGAATTTACTTAGTTTGTTTTAACCATATTAACAAATTTGTTTTAAAACTGTTAGCACTGGAGGAATAAAGGACAAAAAAGTAACAAAAATATCACAGGGATCTTAATCATTGATCTCAGATCAGATACTACTGATGGCTCCATTAAATTTTCCAAAATGACTCGATACACAGCGCTACCGTACAACATTAGTCATCCTTAAAATCTCAGCTTAGCTACGTTATATATATACTGTGGATCTAATAAAAGCGGGCTTGTGTGTAGACTAAGAGAAAAGTGTTCAGATTTTGTGGGAACTGTTGCCCAACAGTGGTCTCTTGGATCAAGTTTGCAATAAAGTGTCTGTCGATTTTCTGTTTTCAAATTAAGCTTCCAAAAACACATTTAAATCGTTTTGAAAACAGGTTTCTCAGGCCTATCCCAATGATCCAGATTACTAACACGTCGTCTCAGGCTTATATCAAAGATTCAGATTACTAACACATCGTCTCAGAGGTATCCCAAAGATCCAGGTTACTAATACATGACCTCAAACTTATCTGAAAGATTCAGATTACTAACACGTCGTCTCAAAGCTATCCCAAAGATTCAGATTACTAACACTTCACGTCGTCTCAGAGGTATCCCAAAAATTCAGATTACTAACACATCGTCTCAGAGGTATCCCAAAAATTCAGATTACTAACACATCGTCTCAGAGGTATCCCAAAGATTCAGGTTACTAACATATCGTCTCAGAGGTATCCCAAAAATTCAGATTGCTAACGTATCGTTTTAAAGCTATCCCAAATATTTAGATTACTAACACGTCGTCTCAAGGTTATTCCAAAGATTCAGAGTGCATGAAAGTTAGATACGTTTCATCTTAGATTTATTCCTCGAACCTGAAAAAAAGTATAAAAATATGGCCGAGAACGGCGTTCTGAAATTTTGTTCTCAAGACTTAGATTGCAACATCAAATTTATTTCTATGTCAAATCAGTGCTACTTTAGATTCTGAAAAAGGTAGACGAGTTAGATTGAAAATATTTACACAGTCTTGTTCGACAGTTTTAAAACTAAACAATGAGACGAGAAAGTCATTGTTTGTTTGTTTGTTTTGAATTTCGCGCAAAGTTACACAAGGGCTATCTGCGCTAACCGTCCCTAATTTAGCAGTATAAGACTAGAGGAAAGGCAGCTAGTCATCACCACCCACCGCCAACGCTTAAGCTACTCTTTTACCAACGAATAGTGGGATTGATTGCCACTTTATAACGCCCCCGCGGCTGAAAGGGCGAGCATGTTTGGTGTGAGTAGGATTCGAACCCGCGACCCACAGATTGCGAGTCGAG